CGTGGGGTCTCCCGCCGCGCCCCGACAGGCGCCCGCTGAGCGACGCCTTCGCCGACAGCTGGACCGACGGCTCGCACTACGACAACACGGGGTTCGTGGCGGAGGAGAGCGCGGTGGAGAACCCCGGTGCCAACCCCCTCCTGAGCACGAAGTCGAGAAGCACATCTGCGCACGGGCGCAGGCCGTTGATTAGGCAAGACAGGATAGTTGGCATTCCCCTGGAGCTGGAGCAGCCGACGCTCAGAAACACACATGAATCTGAAGTGCCTCCTCCCAATCCTTGGCAAAATTGGACCAGAACCCCTAGTCCTTTTGAAGACAGGACAGCTTTTCCTTCCAAACTGGAAAGCACCCCCACCACCAGCCCTTTGCCTGAGCGGAAGGATCATGTCAAAGAGTCTCCTGAAATGACTAGCACTTTTGCTCCAGGAATAGCGTGGGAATATCACGATTCAAATGCCAACAGAAGTCTCACAAACGTCTTTTCGCATATCCACTGTCGCCCAGATCCTTCCAAAAGCGTTATTTCCATCAGCAAGAGCACGGAACGGCTTTCTCCGATGATGAGGGATTTAAAAACTAACAAATTTAAGAAGTCGCAAAGTATCGATGAGATAGACATTGGTACCTACAAAGTGTATAATATACCCTTAGAAAACTATGCATCTGGTAACGATACTGTAGGAACCCACGAGAGGGTGGACAAGCTCCTGGGCCCGGAGCACGGCATGCTGAGCATGTCCCGCAGCCAGTCGGTCCCCATGCTGGACGACGAGCTGCTGACCTACGGCAGCGTCAAGGTGCAACCGCAGCAGAAGTCGTCCGTCACCAAGAAAGTCTACCAGTTCGACCAAAGCTTCAACCCGCAGGGAGCAGTGGAGGTCACAGCGGAGAAGAGGCTGCCGCCGCCTTTCCAGCTCAACCCCGAGTACATTCCCCAGCAGAGTAAAAACCTGCCCCAGGATCTGGTCAGCCCCAGGGCTTACCGCGGCTACCCGCCGGTGGAGCACATGTTCTCCTTCTCCCAGCCTTCGGTGAACGAGGAGGCCGTCGGTGCCCCCTTCGCCAGCCAAGGGTCTCGGCCGGGCTTCTTGAGGAGAGCGGATTCGTTGGCCAGCTCCACCGAGATGTCCATGTTCAGGAGAGTCAGTGAGCCCCACGAGCTGCCCCCGAGCGATAGGTACGGCAGACCTCCGTACCGGGGAGCCGTGGAGCGCCAAAGCAGCATCTCGGTCTCCGAGTCTCAGTTCCTCAAGAGGAACGGCAGGTACGAAGACGAGCATCCGTCCTACCAAGAGGTGAAAGCCCAGACTGGAAGCTTCCCAGTTAAAAACCTTACTCAAAGGAGGCCGTTGTCTGCAAGAAGCTACAGTACGGAGAGTTACGGCACGTCGCAAACGAGGCCGGTGTCAGCGAGGCCGACTATGGCAGCGCTGCTGGAAAAGATACCGTCGGACTATAGCTTGGGTAACTATGGCGACAAGCCTTCCGATAGCGGTGATATAAAGACAAGGCCCACCCCTGTGAAGGGAAATGAGAGCTGTGCTAAAATGCCCGCTGACTGGAGACAACAGCTACTTAGACATATAGAAGCTAGAAGGTTAGACAGGGTATGTTTGGCATTTCTCTGCAATTAATGCCTTTAGTTGTGTGTTTCGGTGTATCAAACTATTTGCGCATACAGTGGTGACCACCAGAATTCCCAGTAATGAAATCCCTGCGTTGGTGTCAGGGGAACCGGCCCACCCAGGGGTCTGGGGGTGCTCCAGAGCAGCTGGAGTGAGGGGGCTCCCGGGGAGACGCGTGGCAAAGAGCCTCTGCGCCAGTAACGCGCCGCGGTGCCCGTCGCCGACGGGGCGAGTGCTGCGGCACCGTCCGAAATAATCGAACCCGTAAAAAAAATTCCCTCCTTATCAACAGATGGGAGTGTGCTGGGGGGGTCCACCACTTCAGAAGTGATGGGAGAGCTCTAAAAGGTGCCGGGTACATCTTTGCAGGACAAGGCGATAAAGGAAAACGCCACAGATTAAAAAGTGAAATAATGTATTTTAGCTTTCCTGTCGCTGTTAGTGGAGGGGATTTAAAGGCATCTCTTAGCTCTGAAAAATACCCCTGGATATACACTGCCACTGTTTTCACAAGGAATATATGGTTCTTGCTCCCTTTACAGTAGGAAGTGATGCTCATTTACCTTCTCTACACACCGGTACAAGTACGCTAGTGCATGATTCCGATACTGGTCCCAACTGTTTAATGACCTACTTCATGAATCGGATTTACTTCTGAATCCGAAGTGGTTGTGAAAAATTACTGTCCTGAAACGCAGAAGTTAGTTTCCAGATGTGTCCGTACACCTCTTTCGTGCTAGATACTCCTGAGTTTGGTGTTCATATACTCAGTACCTTCCAGCTGCTCAGATGTGGTGCATATTAAAGTATAAATAAGGATCCAATGGGTAAATTTCAAAAACCAGCTCGAAGGCTGAAGCTTATTCTTACTTCAGCCGTTCTCCTTGTGTGGTGTAAAACTGATTGGAAAATCCGTAGGACCTAGGCAAAACAGTGCGCCCCAAGGAGAGACATTTCTGGTGGAAATAAACCCTTCCCAGACAACGTTTGTTTCAGAAATACCCTTACACTTAATTTACGATGTGTGTTTGCTTAAGAAATACTTTCTCTGCTGGCGAGCCCGCACTGGGGATTTTATCTCGTTAAATGGAGCTCCCAGTAATCCCCGCAGGTGCCTGCGATGAGTTTCTAGTTGTTTGCAATGCAGATAAGCAAAGCTCTAAGGAGCCAGGCTGTCTGGTGGGGGGGTTGCCCATGAGAACCCCTGGCACTGCCACATAGCAGCTGCTGCAGGAGAAGACGCTGCCCATCTGCCCATGCCGGGCCGTGTCCCTGGTGTCCCTGCTGGAGCTCGTCCCTCGGGGCAGCTGGTGGCCAGGGAGCATCGCAAAGCTCGGGAGATGGGGCAGAGCCTTCTTCCCTCAGGTTTTCCCTCTGCCTTTGATGCTCTCTTATGGTAGATACGTGTTTTCTGGCCCGTCCGTGGGCGCGCAGGCGTACCAAAATTTGGGGCCACGTTTGCAGAATAAAGACTTGTACCGTGTTACGTCCTGCGAGTCTCAAACTGCAGATAACGACATGTTCCATCTGCCGTCAGCGTTGAAGTCTTTTATGGTATCCATCTTATGTACAACAAGCAATGTATTTGCTTCCGTGTGACCCAGTGCATGCATCAGAAAGCTATTTCTTTCTTGGTACTGTTTGTTTGCTTAAACTAAAACTTTGTGAAATTAACCATATATGTGTGATATTTAATTCGATGAGCATGTGTGTTCATATCCTGTCACGTGGTTGTTTCCTCTACTCAGACCGCTGCTTACAAACACAACACAGTTAGCCTTGGCATGCTGCACTCTGGAGGTTTTTCAGCAATGCATGCCGGCAGAAGCATGACTTTAAACTTGCAGCCTAAATCTAAATTTGAAAGCCAAATGCTTCAAGAGCTACCTCTACCGAAAGTAAGTATGGGCTAGCCAGCATATACCAGCATTACGAAATAAATTAATGACATTCCTTGCTTTTTCCCGGTTTAGCTTTTGCCTATTCTTCATGCTTATACTGTACACAATCCAAAAAGCAAAGATGATGTCATACAGGTTTCCTACTCGGTCACCTTGCTTTTTGGATGAAGTAGCTCACGTGGCTGTCATTACTGCTTTCTGCTCTCGTGTGCCAGACCGATGCGATCATCTTCTCGGTGACTTAATCCGCGCGCGGAAACGGAGAGCGCGTTTCGTTTTGTGACCCTTTGATCTTAGAAAAATGAATGTAGAAATGTTTAATGTGCGTTTCGACAGGCTCCAGCAGGCAGAGATTTTCATATTTGAACATTCATTGAGTGTGCTGCAATAGCTGATGAGCGCTGAGTACCTGCCTACCACACCTTACCTAATGTTAAACTTTTCTTGAGTAATGCCTATAGAAAGAAAATGATTTTCTCACTTTTTTACTGGTTATTTTACAGCTATTCATGCTATGTTGTCGATAAGCACATACATGCACAATTAATTATATACAAACAAATGTTTGATGGGAAAAGCACATGTGACGAGCCAGAGAGGGACGTTGCTGGAGTATGTGCAGAGTATCAGCGAGAGGATGCTGAGCCCTTACTCTGCATCACGTACGGCCACGAGAGACACCGCAGCAGGGTCGGGATGGCGAGTGCTGGCCATGGGCTGCCGCCGTGCCAGAGGTGACGGGCAGCGTCAGCATCCTGCCGCGTCCGCCTCGGTGGCTGTTGGCACAAATTAGCGACATCTCTGTGTTAATTAAAGGGTAGCAGAGCACAGATCCAGGCGCTGCATGTGATCATCTGCGCTGTTAATTGCTGTCCTGGCCGTGGGGGTGGCTCGGCGGGGCCAGCTGGCCCCCTCCCAGGCAGCCCCTGGCCGGGGCTCCGCAGTCAGTGCTGGCCAGAATTCCCAAAGCAGGGTTCCAGTGCCCGATGGAAGAGTTTAGATCCAAGCCTGTTTAGAAGAAGAAGGTAATTTAGTGGCAACAGGACTAGATGGTGCTGTTGGCCGGAGGACAGACCGTGGCACTGCCTGGCTTCCCAGTTGAGGCACGTGCATCGCACACGTTTTCCAAGCAGAGCTGTGGTGGGTTGACAGTGCTCACACACACACACATCATGGTCAGGTTTCTCCTGCTGTAACTCACTCTCCATACACTGTTAACTTCGTTTACACCTCCCATTCAGCTGTCCCTGGATTTAAACAAGTCCTAATGTCAGTGTGTGCTTCTCTGTTGTTCAGTCGATGACATCGAGGTCAAGTTTAACTGTAGATGTGTGTCTGTTTGGACACAGACAGCTTTCCAGTGTTGGTCATACTGGCTTTTTTTCTTTCAAATAATTTGTTTGTCTGTTTGGGTATATACTAATTCTTGTCACAAGTCCTTGAAAGAAGTCCATGCGACATCAACTCCAAATAATGGTACTATTTTTTTACACGCATTTCAGAATAAGCTGTTATATATCACTTTAATAATTTTAGGCTGTAGATGGGTATGGATACTAATATATGAATATCTGGGGAAAGTCATGAAACTGTTTAGGGTGACATATTTTTGGGTGTGGTCTTATATGAATTATTCTGCTTTATGTTTCACCAGCATTTCATTGCTACATACTCATATAAAACGTGAAGCTGAACTGCATGGAGGGGATGTATACTCTTACTGTACTGTTTGGAAAGTGGTGAAAAATTATTGTTGAAACAGATAAATTGAATGTTTAGTATTGTTGAATTTTATTCCTTCACATGTTCTAAAGGATTTTGCATTTCTTAATGAATCCAGGCCACAGCAGCTTGATATTTACCTCTTCTTCCTCTTTCTCGTGGCCTAGATTCAAGAGAGTAATGAGTGAGGTCTAATTGTCCAGTGGAAGATCAGGAAATCGAGTATAGCAGTTCCTTATTTTAAGAAAGTTTATTACATCGATTCTACTCCATGTATAAAATGTTTGAACTGCTGTTTTTCATTTTTTCCCTAGACTTAATAGATACGTAATGTGTTTGCAGTCTGTCCAAGCTCTGTAAATGAACAATATTCCAAGTCAACAAATTCATGCTACTGCAGGAAATGAAAAGAAGAAGCTGTTGTCACAGAATGTTCCTTTTTCCTGAGGAAGCAGAAAGCACCCTCTGTATTTTTTCTTTTCCATTCCGAGTCAGCACTCACCTCTGCAGATTAGCCAGTCGCTTATCAAAACGGCGCAGCGTTGTCTGCAGGGACAAAAGGAACACTTTTCACAGGAGTGCTTTCAATTTTGGGCACCCACCTCACAATTCTTTTAAAACTTTATGGTTTGGTGCACTTTTTTCTCAGAAGTGCACAGTACCACCTCCCTTTTGGAGTGATCAGCGTACTCGCGTGTCCCACCCAGGGGGGAAAACAGAGGTTCCTTTAGGAAGGTGCCTCGCTGGTCCCCTCTGTCCCTGCATGCCAGGACACAGCAGGTTTTAGGGATGTGAGCAGCTCCCAGCACATCCCTGGGCACCTGGGACAGGGGGTGACGCTGGAAGGGATGGCTCACACCGCCTTTCTTCTCCACTGGTTTTTACTACTCCTCAGAGCAGAAACTTTTGCAATTTTACTTTCTCATTTTAGAAGCTGCTTCCTGCCCTGGTCGCAGATGAGGTACCCCCGTTTGGATGAGGGTTACGTGGGGACCAGGGCAGAATGGCTGAGCCATGAGTTTACCTGGGCACAAAGAGCCCTCCCTGCGCCCAAACTGGGACCCAGAGTCTGACCCGTGGGCAGACAGGGCTCAGGGTGCCCGGGGCAGGGCTGACCCTGGGCAGCGTGTCTGGACCTGTCCGGACAAAAAGGGTTGACTGCATCGGAGGGACCCAGAGCCGTAGCGTCAGGTTTCACAGAATCACAGAATCCCAGAATGTCAGGGATTGGAAGGGACCTCAAAGGATCATCTAGTCCAATCCCCCTGCCGGAGCAGGACCACCTAGATCAGATCACACCAGAACGCGTCCAGGTGGGTTTGGAACATCTCCAGAGAAGGAGACTCCACAACCTCTCTGGGCAGCCTGTCCCAGTGTTCTGTTACCCTTACTGGGAAGAAGTTCTTCCACATGTTTAAGCAGAACCTCCTATGTTCCAGCTTATATCCATTTCCCCTTGTTCTATCATTGGATGCCACTGAGAAGAGCCTGGCTCCATCCTCATGGCAGTCACCCTTTCCATATTCATAAAAATTAATGAGGACCCCCCTCAGAGTCTTCTTCTCCAAGCTAGAGAGACCCAGCTCCCTCAGCCTTTCCTCAGAAGGGAGATGCATCCAGCTCTGCTCCCAAATTTCCCAGCGTTAGAGAGCATTGTGCTACTGGAGAGCAGCAGCACTGCTGCCTCGGGGGCTGCTGAGCTCTGAGGGATAACCTGTGGAAAAAAGTGCTGGGATTGGTTTCATTTTTCCATTTTTATCACGTGTAAAGAAAGCTCTGTAGGGAGGTCTTGTAGTTTCAACAGAGGAAATGTTTTTCTAGTGCTTTTTATAATGTAAGGAAAATCACATCTTTCCTGATTTTTCCAGAAGACTTCTTGAATGATGAGAGCATTATAATGAACGTTTTCTTTGATTTTAAATAAAAAGGATTTAATTTTTTTACTTAAACTCTGAGGAGTATGATTTGCATCCCAGTTTACTTCTATTTACTTTTAAAGGATTTTTAAGCTTACATTAAAAAAAGTTCTTAATTGACCAGTTACCAACTTCAGTATTTCCAAGCAACAGTTTTATTTGTTCTTCAGTCATCTAAAGAAGTGGTTTGTGATTTTTTTTTTTTTTTTAATCTAAGCTGGAGAAGAAACTGCTTGAATGTCAGAGGCTAAAAATATAGACTTTTTTTTTTCTTTGCAGATTACCATTAATCAGAACTGAATAAGCTGTTAACTGAGTAGGCACTATGTAATACTCAGTGCTCTCAGTGGTACCTCGATGTTGGCATTTTGGAAAGTCTGGCCCAAAAAGCCATATCCGTGTTAGCAAAATTTCCACCTATTGGAAAAAAATACAGAGAGACGGATAACAGAGCATCAGGATGAGACAGAAGTACATGTGTCCTCAAAAGTGCTGAGAACAGGAGTGAAATAACCAGGGGGGAAAGCAACATCATTTAATCTTGGTGGCAAATACTTAACAAAAAAGTTTTTGGTGCTTGAATGACCAGTAGGAAAGTTCTAAGTGAAATGATTAACGGCAGACTGCACGTTTAAATGTGGAACTTTGCCAAAACATGTTTATCTGAAAATTGTGCATTACGTTAAGTTAATTTTCTCTTCTCTCTCATCATTCATTATTCTCATTATTTCTCTTAGATATCTTTCAAGATCTCCTGAGTCCCACAGCGATATGATTACACGTTAATGAAATACCGTAGAAATGTGCCAGGATTTCCATTGTAGCAGTAGTGTGTTATGGTTTAACTGGTTTGATTACTGAAATAAATATGAAGAGAGAATTTTCTGCCGTGCTGTGACAGTGACTAAAGGCTGCCCTACCGTTTCTGACACAGACCCCGTCGCAGCAGAGCAGCATCCTGGACAACGGGCAGGAGGAGGTGTCCGTGAGCAGCCAGTGGAACCCCTACCCGCTGGGGCGGCGGGACGTGCCACCGGACACCGTCACCAAGAAGGTAAGCAGCACCAGCAGAGCCGCTGGCCCAGCAGCAGCTGGCGTCTTTTTCCCAGCGAGTCACTGGAAGGAGGAGAACAGGTTAATGAGGAGGAGGTTTGGGAAACACATATTTTCATTTCAAGGTCTGAAGCGATAATCTTTATGATTTCGTGCCTGCCACCTGGTTTGGTATTTGTTCATGCGGGTGCTAATAGTTGCACCTGTAGGGTGTGAAATGGGCGCAGGGGGTTTGGCAGGTGTATTCCTGCGTGTATCAGACAGCCATCAGCTCCCTCTTGTCCTGAAAAGTCTTTGCTCAAGTTTTTCATTTCAGTTACACTCTTCAATTCATGGCAAAAAATAGCTGTGTTGGGGTAGAGGCCAGCCCAAGGTCTAGGGAGTCACAGCTGTTTCAGCAGAGATGTCCTGGGCACACATCATTTGCTGATAAACTCACCAGAAAGGGGTCATAGAATCATAGAATCATAGAATGGTTAGGGCTGGAAGGGACCTTCAAAGGTCATCTAGTCCAAGCCCCCTGCAAGGAACAGGGATATCTCCAGGGTCTCATTTTTAGTACCTTGTGGCAGTAGATATTAAATTCCAGTGCTTGGATCTGGCCCATTCCTATGAAAACACTGGCTGCTCTCTCCCAGCCCCAACTTGGCTCTGTTCGTCGACGGAGAAACTGCTGGTTTTAGATGCTCTCGTGGTAAAGCTGGAGAATGGAGGATCTTGACAAACTAAACTGTGTTTGCAGTCGGCTTGGGAAGGCGGAGCCGCCCATGTAAGCAGTGATGATGACACTGATCGTTGTCTGTGTGGAGATGGGTCCTGCTCGTTCCCGAAGTAAAGTCTCACGAGTGAGTAAAACTGGTGTGAAAGTCATGATGTGCACACTGATAACTGCCGTAGTGTGATTAACTGTCAGCACTGACGAGGCAAATATCTCCCTACTGGCTTCACAGCTTTTTACCCAAGACAGTTTCAGAAGCCGTAGCTCTTGCCTTCGTACAGAAGTGGTGACGAGAGAGATATAAGAAAGAAATTCTTTACATTGAGAGTGGTGAGGCACTGGAACAGGTTGCCCAGAGAAGCTGTGGCTGCCCCATCCCTGGAAGTGTTCCAGGCCAGGTTGGATGGGGCTTTGGGCAACCTGGTGTAGTGGAGGGTGTCCCTGCCCATGGCAGGGGGGTTGGAACTGGATGATCTTTGAGGTCCCTTCCAACCCAAACCATTCCATGGTTCTATGATTCTATGACCTGTACAAGGGACGTGCTTGAAAATGGGAGGCGAAAGGCATCGCAGCTGGAGCAGCCCAGAGACTCCTTCCCCAGCACAGGAGGGGGAGGAGGGTGCCCTGACATGGTTTGGTGGAGCTGGCTCTGACAGCCAAGTTTTTCGAAGGGTTTCTTTATCCTCTGATATGCAAGAATCTAGGATAAGACATTGAAGAGGAGTTACTGCTTATCTTCACTGGCATATTGGGATAAAACCTGCGTTTATCCATTCACACCATCCAACACCGTCTCTGTCTTGCATTTGTGCATCATCAGTGTTACTAGAATAAAAGTGCAGATTCTGTTTCGTGCTGAATATTTCAGTATCTCGCTGCTCAGATGTGGTAAGTGCAAACATTGCATAACCCTACTGAAACCTGCTGAGCTCAGTGGAGCAATCCATTGTTACATCCGCTGTCGGCTGCTTTAATTATACTGTAAATATTGGACACTGAGCTGGAAATAATTAACTTTTGTGGTGGATGTTAAATAAAGAATACAAATGGAATTGGGGAAGCGGTCTGCATAACAGGATTTTTTTTCTGCAGAATAAATAATTCCCAAGAAAGGCAGCTTAGCCAGCTCCAGCAAGAGCCACAGTGTGAATACGCAGGAAGCAGTGATATGATCTCTTCAAAGTCTATTAACAGGAGTGAGAAAATGAATTCTGCAAATTGTTTACCCACCATCCTCAGGAGGTGGTTTGCAATGTGCTGTGATGACAATGCTAATCTCTTCTCCATTGAAAGTGACCCAGAAGTGTCCTGGTTTCCCAGCACATGAGGATTAAAATACGGCAATTATTTGAAGTCAGACTCAGGAAATCTTCTATAGAATTAAAGTTCAACGTAATTCAACAATTAAATGATGTAAATATGAATCGTAGTGCCTGTTCTGTTTTTCCAGTAACACCGCAGTAGGAGCGCGAGTGGGCTCCTGCAGAGCAGAGTCGCCACGCGGGAGAGCGGTACTTGGGAAATCACTGGAGGAAGAGTTGGGACTTGTTCTTCCAAGAGGAAGAGCATGTGCTGTAGATGGATGGACTGTGTGCTCAGGATGATGGAGTACAGATATCGACACAGGAATAGGTGTCCCTACATTTTCCACACTTAGTGGAAACGGGTAGTGATGGCTATTTAGGGGTGGTGGGTAAGGTGGGAAATACTATACGGTGATCACTACATAATTATTTGGGGTGTAAGTTGTTGTTTCTGTCCTTTTTGCTGTTTGGAATACAGATTCTTATTTCAAGTCATTTTTATTTTAAGTATGATCGTTTACGTGATCAATCCTTACTTTACGGGCTATTTCTCATATGGAAAAGTTGGATATTTTAATCTTCAAATTGGATAACCCAGTGATTTATTAGAAGACTACAGTAGTTACGTTCCCTGGAAGACGACTTTTTCTGTCGTGTCGACGAGACAGAAGTGAGCTACAAGCCTGATGAAATCGGTCGTATTCTGAGTTAGCTGCGCCTCCATGGAAAGGGGAAGGGGTAGAAGTGTGGCAGGGGAGCACCAAAAAGAAACTTGGAAATCACTCCTTATGAAAAAGAGACGTTGAAGAGTGAGAATGAAGATGGGAAAGGAACAGACGTCGGATCGGCCAACCTGGGCGCAGGGCGACGACCCGCTGGGAGGGTGAGCCACGCGGGTCGGGGACGCGTAGGGCTGTGTTGGCACCTTCTGCTGCAGGATCACAGCTGCCTACGCAACGGCTGGAGCCGTGCAAGCTCTTGGAGAGCCTTCCGTGGGCTGGAATGGTCTTGGTGGGTGCGGAAGGAGCATATGCTGTGGAACCAGAGCGGGGCAGCTGCCTCGAAACTGGGGCATACACAAGTGGCTGAGTCACCACTTCTCTCCCGTTCTGACATGGGGGTGTTTCTGTTGGCCACGGCTGTGAGGCTGGAGGCTCTTTCATTTCCAGCACCTGCTGTTTGGAGGTTTTTTAACCTGATAAAGAAGATTTGAGGTTTTTCAGTCAAGAAGTACAATTTTTTTTTGTATTCGAATAGACTTCTTCCTCTGAGGCAGACAGTGCACCTGTTGTGCACTGCTGTGGTGGATACGGGATTGCATCTGGGTCAACAGCAGAATTTGTGAGATTCTGCTTTTTGGGGATCCTCTTGTGATGAGTGTGGCACAAGATGAAGTGTAGAACTGTGCTGCTCACCGTCGCCTGCTCACCGTGCGTCGCTGCGGTGCAGGGTGACACGGATGCACCGATCTGCTCGGGTCGTTGCTGCTGGGGAGTTAATGAGTAGCTGAAAAGTCCATCTGGAGCATTTTCCTTCTCTTCTGATCTTGGTTGAATCGAAGGTCTCTCTGACCTGTGAAGTGGGATGTTCACAGTACAGGCTGACTTCACCAGGCTATTCTTGGAGTGAGTTTGTCAATGTCTGTTATGCATTTTCATGTACACAGATGAGCTGTGTTTTAAGAAGAGTTTGGGGATTGAAGATTTGGGCACAAGGAGTGAGAGATTTCTCTGTCGTTACTCGCTTTGAGACTATCCCCCTTGTACCAAAATGAAGAACTGTCAGACGTGTATTCTGCCTTCTTCAAATGTCACCAGCAAAAAAATAAGACAGAGCAGCTCGGTTCTTCTCGCAGTCGCCGCGTGTCTTGCTGAGATTCTGCATTCAGGGACACGAGTAGCTCCACCTGCCTCTGTATTAACGATGGGTTCTGCAGACAAAGCTTGGAAATCCATTAAGATGTCTTTTTGCTATGGCAACGAGCAATTAATCCAAATGCCCTGGCTGCTGTACCTTCGGAGGCCAGATGATTGGCCAATGAGTAAGAAGTGGTTTGATCTTTCGCTGTATTAAATTTAATCTTGTCTGAAATGCAGTCTCACCGTTGGTGACTCTGCCACCAGGACCATAGAAGTTCAGTAGTACTGAGGATGAGACCTTCATGATGAGGCGTGATTGTGAGCAACGGCATCCGAATCCTGTAAAAATGAAAATGATAAAATTGTCTCCACTGAATTTATTTTGCAAAGATTGGCTTCAAATGTTTATGTAATTCATGGACCTAAATAGAGCGAGTGCAACTTTGCCATGTCCAGGACAGAACACGGAGAGCAAACCTCACCTGTTGGGTGACAGGCAGTGGGGATGGAGGGGGTAGAAGAATGACAGCAGTCATCCTCTTCATTCTGAAAACATCAAAAGGCCAAGTCAATGTTAATGTAGTATTTCACGTATTTACAAAGGATTAGAGCTTCAAATCAGTAGGTATTATCACAGAAATTTGATAACTTTGATTAATTAAATTCTGTAAAAGCCACATTTGTTCCTAGGACAAGGCATCGGATTTAATTGATGGTGCTTTCCATCCCCAGTGCACAACACTGGCCAGTATCTGTATTTGTTTTATAAATCTTACTCCAAACTATTCTCAGAAAAAAAAAAAAACATTCCAATATCTTCAGAGTGTGCTGTGATGAATAACCCACCCTGCTTCGGTTTATTAAATGTTTTCAGTTCACAAAATGTTTGGAGCGGAAGCGCGTGTCATGACATGAGGAAAAAAGTGTTTTCTGTTTACAAAACACACAATATGTGGCTAATTTCCCTTAAACCTCCGAGGGTCACTAAATGCAATGGGCATATCTTGCTCCTTATAAT